TATTTGGCTTTTCTGACCATCCCGTAGTGCTCTCTGAGTGGGACACTGGGATATATGGCCTCACGGCTGCAGGGTTATGTTGGGATCTGGCCCGGAATGGGTGACGTGTGGTTATGTAAAAGATGCAAAAAATAATCCTTCTGAGATGGAAATGGAGCAGAGCAGCCCCTTGAGAGCAGCGTGTCACTGTCCTTTTATCTGCTGCCCTCGGCTGGAGCCTCCCCCAGGCACAGCTGTGCTTCCCTGTTCCCTGTGGGGCCCAAGGAGTCAGTCCTTGGTGTTGTGGGGCTCTCGAGGCCCTGGGTCAGTCCCCGCCATTTTGGGGCACCCCTGGGTCAGTCCCCGCCATTTTGGAGCACCCCTGGGTCAGTCCCTGCCATTTTGGGGCACCCCTGGGTCAGTCCCTGTCATTTTGGGGCACCCCTGGGTCAGTCCCTGCCATTTTGGGGCAGCCCCTGGGTCGGTCCCCGCCATTTTGGGGCAGCCCCTGGGTCAGTCTCTGCCATTTTGGGGCACCCCTGGGTCAGTCCCCGCCATTTTGGGGCAGCCCCTGGGTCAGTCCCCGCCATTTTGGGGCAGCCCCTGGGTCAGTCCCCGCCATTTTGGGGCAGCCCCTAGGTCAGTCTCTGCCATTTTGGGGCACCCCTGGGTCAGTCTCTGCCATTTTGGGACATCCCTGGGTCAGTCTCTGTCATTTTGGGGCAGCCCTGGGTCAGTCTCTGCCATTTTGGGGCAGCCCTGGGTCAGTCTCTGCCATTCTGGACCGGAGCAGAGGCTGACTGAGGCTCACGGAGGGCAGGGCGGAGCAGTGGCCGTCCTACCTGTACAGAGCTCAACCTGTTCCCCCAAACACACTTCCCAGCTGGTTTTTTTGAGCCAGTCAACCCTTCCTCTGGTGTCGTGCAGAAATAAAGCTGGAAGTGCAATCCTGGAAGCAGTTTGGGATGTTATTAAACAGTGAAGCAATAGATTATAATGTCCCTTGTCATTGCAGGAAGGTTGGAAGTAGATGCCCTTTAAAGGTCCCTTCTGACCCAAACTATTCAGATTCTGGAATTGTGACTGAGGTACCACTGTGTAAATACATTTATTAAACAGTTTGCATTCTGGATCAGTAGGGGATGTTTTATGGAGCTGTTCCTTTGGAGTGTTGTTCTTTGGGCCAGCTTTAGACTTGGGTTTGTAACTCTGCAGAGAGAGGACTGGCAAACATTTTTTCATAATCAGTCCTAATGTTTATGCAGTATAAAGCTTTAAGCAGTTGCAGACCTCTCCCATATCTTTAGTGCATATGAAAAATGTTCCTTAGGAATAGATATCGATAATATATGTGCAGACAACGTTGTTTAAGCCATAGACAGTGTTTTGGGCTCCTCAGTATCAATTTTGTGTACTGTCAGCTTTGCATTGAGGTAGGATATGTTTTGGTCCTACTCATTACCAGATGAATAAAAGTGGTTGTATTGCTGGAAAATGAGAGCTCGACCTGCGAAGTTACTTCAGCTTAGGGTTTCCATATATTTGTTTAATACTTAGATCATTATCCCTTGTGATCTTACACGTACCATGGACAATGGCTTTTTTGAGCCACTTCCAGAATGCAGAATGACTCTGAAGTGACTTGCTTAAACCTGTCTTTTTATAGTTACTGTCATCATTCTCAGCTGAGAATTGGCCTCTCATATTTTGACAGAATCTGTTGTATTAGCACTGTGACACATGGCATAGTGTACTTTTGAGTAGAGTACTTGAAAAGTAACTGCTGCCCGTAGAGGCACGGTGTGGTCTATTCCCAGTGAAGAACAATAATTACCCTCGTTAGTCCAGGTGTGTGTGTTTCTCTGTAATGATTCAGACACATTGGTGACTCCATCCAAGTGCCAGAACTGTAATTTGGGAACATTGTGTCTCCCAGATCACATAGATGAACGGAGAGTTTGCAATGCCATCGCCCCGGAGAAGGATGTGGATGGATTCCACATCATGAATATTGGACGTCTGTGTCTCGATCAGCCTTCCATAATTCCTGCCACTGCTGCTGCTGTGTGGGAAATCATAAAACGGACAGGTAGGAAACTCAGCTGTCCTGAAACCCTTTTCATCTGGGGAGAGGAGCAAAGGGTTAAGTGAGGTGTGAGTTAAAGGTTATCTCAGTATATTGGGCTGAGTGAAGAACAAACATTTAGAGGAGTAATGTGAATTATAATGACATGACAAATAGGTGAGATCTTGTGCCAGTAGCATAACTCTTAATTAAGTGAAGAGAGCAGTACTTGGTGGAACACTTTGGTAACTTTCTGCCTTTTGCAGTGTTGCAGGGAACTTTGTGTGCTATTGTGTACCTCCTGATTATTTGTGAAATAGAAGGTTTGTATGCATCAGTTTCTGTAAGTGAAAGGGAAGAACCAAGATCAAGAATGGGAGCAGTTAATTTCCCTTTTTCAGGGGAAAAGAGTGCCCAGTGTTCACTAGTGTTCATTTTCTCCTCAGAATGTGTGTGTTCTGACTGGTAGCCATTAGAGCTTCAATTCCCCTTTGTGGTCAGAGAAGGGAAATGAAGTTCCTGCTGAGGGTGGTTCAGGTCACCTGAATGAGTTGCCAGTTTTCTTTCCACCAGGGGAAAGCTGCAAGTTGTTCTGTGGATTCATCCCTCAAATTCAGCCTTGTGGATTTGCATGTCAGGTTGATGTCAGCAGTCCACAGTAACAGACAGTTCAATCTTGGGGAGTGAGAAGAAGGGTTTAGGTGTATCAAAATAGTGAAATAGATTTTATTTTTTTCTCTAAGGAATACCCACATTTGGAAAAAATGTTGTTGTAGCTGGAAGATCTAAGAATGTTGGAATGCCCATCTCGATGCTGTTACATACTGATGGAGAGCACGAGAGGCCTGGAGGTAAGTGCAGGGATGTTGTTGGAATGTTTCCTTTTGTGAAATCCTGAAAGTGAAGCTGACCAGAGGATTCAACTAAAAGAGGAAGCTTCTCACTTTTGTCAACAGCTCTAAGGGGAGCAGGGAACTAAATTTGCTCATCTATTTCCTGGCATATTCTCAGGTGAGTAGTTACTGGAGTCGACATATTCTGGTCTGACATCACCTGCTGTCCTGCCTTTGAAAGAGCTGCTGTTTCCACGCTGTCAGCACTGAATGTTGAGGATAACAGTGGCAGTGTGGCCTTAAAGAGCTGCA